CCAATATATATATATATATTAATATGATATAAAAAGTTTGAGTGTCTTATGCATGAGTGGAATACTTTTAAATGAATTAAGAATAGTAATATTTTTGGTATAAAATGAAAAAAATTGAAGGCTGGAGATGTAATTATTAAAATTTAGGTGTTAGATATGTAAATTTTATAAGAATAGTGTGACATGTTTGTAAATGCCCCATTTATTTATTCTATATAAAAAAAATTGAGAAATTTTATAAATATAAATTTTATATAAATACAAAAATTGTGTGGCAAGCATGTAAAAATATTTATATAAGTATCACAATATAAGGAAGTGCGGTTTTTGAATGGTTTTATGAATTTGAAAAAAAAAACAAAAAACAAAACCAACAAAACTCATAAATTTTTTTACTTCTCCGGTTTCAACTAGTAATGCTATAAATTCAATTTTCTAAGGAAGAATGAAGTTAAGTAATAAAAATTTTTAAATTTATATACATGATATTTATTTTAAAGTAAATTAGTTAATATATGTCACGGAGACGGCTTCGTTGGCAGGATAAAGAAGAAGAATGTCGCCCTTAGGGAGATAATTGGTGGTCGACAATGGTTGATGATCATCGACGACGATCGATAAAAGTAGACGGCGGTCGTTGATGATCAATAGAGGTCAGTGGTGGTGCTGGACTTCAATTCTTTATCAAAACTTCAAGTTTTTTTTCTCAAATCTCAAGTTCTACTCCGCATTTATGAGAGGAGTGAGCTCTAATTATAATGTTATGAGTGTAATTAATGCAGAAATATGAAATAATTTGATCGGACAGTCCGGAGAGATTCATTAATCAAACAACGTTTGATGGACATTTAAATGCCTTGACGATGTCGGAATTGAGCGAACTTGACCTCTTTGAATTTGTCTTGTCGAGACGCTCGATTCGATTATAAACTCGTCAGATTCCACATCCGTTTGACCTTCCAATTATGTTTAGAAAACTTTCAAAATTGATTTAAGAGCTTGATTGCGGCTCAATTTAGTTCAAACCGAATCAATGTTGGTACTATTAGGTCCGTCTCGTCGAGCTAGTCATTTTGACTATAAGTTCGTTGAAATCAAAGCATTGGATGACTTTTAATCAAAGTCTGAACATTCATTACTCAAAAGGTTGCTTCGAGATTCATGTCAAGCCTCGAGATTTATCTCAGATGATGGAGTTTTGTTGATGACGTATCAATAGTCATCCTTCTTCACTTACTAGCAAAGAATTTGAGTGAAAGTTTTTATTGATTAAAATCTTATCTTTAAATTTGATTGGTAAATATGTTATTAAATATTTTGCGCGATCGGTAAGTAAAATTCAAATAATTTAAATAATACATAGCACTCAATTCTTATGCATCTACTTATCTCACATATAAACAATGATTTTTAAATCAAAAGCATCCTACCTATATAAAAAAAAATGTAATTCATCCTTTTATACATCTTTTCAAACATAGGAAAAACTGTTTAGCTTGTAAATGCATAAAAATTGGGTGCTATGCATATAAATTTCCGTAAAATATAATATGTGGTATTCATCTAAATATTGAAAGAAGGGCATCTACATATATATACCACTCAATTCCAAAAAAATGGGATTTTTACATTCAGACATGCGTGGTCCAAGGGAATATCACTTTGATCTAAGGAACAATTCAATCTCCTAGCAATATCTTCTGATTGAATATAACATAAAAACTTTATAATATAAATGCATGTTCCTTCTTATTCCAAATTTGGGTTGATCTCTGTTGTTGCTGGACTTCAGTGCCTTTATTGTTGGGCAAATATTTGAGTACGTCTAACTGTACGCAGCGCTGCATACCTTGGGAGGTTATTCAGAGGGTACAAGGGGGTTATATCAGTGTTATACCCCCTTGTAACCTTCCTGTAACCTACCTGTAACCTACAAATAAGTTATGCGCTTATATAGTTTCGTAGCTACAGGTAAATTACAAGGAGGTTACATGGAGGTATAACATGAATATAACCCCCTTGTACCCTCTGAATAATCTCCGACATACACAGCGCTGCATACAGTTGGACGTACGCAAATATTTTCCCTATTGCTGACTGCTAAGTTCAAATATATTTTTTTTTCTTAGGCTTCATGACATGCGTTGTTGTGATTATATCGCTCTGTCTAACAATAATGATTCAAAATAATTATTGTTCGTTAACAATAATTGAAATATTCTAAATTATTTCTATAGTATTCGTGTGTTTCTTACTCTAGCGGGCAACATGAGAGTTGATTTCTATAGTGTGAATGAATTAACGGATGCCTTTTGCGGCATTTACATGCATACCACGAAATTCTTATATATTTACATATCTAACACCTAAACGTTCCTATTTTTATGTATGCTTCCTACTACATATGTTGATGAGAAAGGTGCAGGTTTATTCGATCAAAAATTTCCTTATATATGCCAAATGATCTTTTAGATTGATATAATTGGCCCAAAAAAACTAAGGAATTCTGATAAGCTCCAACTTCCAGCCATCTCATGTAGAGAAACAAGGATTATTGGTTCGGAGTTGTGAGTATATAAACAATTTAAGCACACTAAATTCTCTTTTCTTTTTACTCTTTCATAGGCCAATTTACCTGCAAAGATACTATTTCTACATGCCTTAGTGTTTTACTCTTTCATGCATTGAGAAACTGAGGAAGAAGGTTTGTTAGCATAAAGGAGAGATTAATACAAATTGTCGACTGAGATGAGGTAATTATAAAAATTGAACAAAAGCAAAACCTCACAAGCAACACAAATAAAAAACTACAAATTGAAGGATGCAAACCTTCACACCAAAAGATAAGGCAAATAAAACACCACAAAAATCATCAAATGCCAAAAATACAAATAAAATTCATTATCTTCTGATGTGAGGACATAAAGCTTCATTTAGTGAGTTTGTTCTAATCCACCCCTTCTTATTGGTAGTTTAGCTCTAAATCCAGTAGTAGAACTTGTGTGGTTCGATTCATTGGTGGCATTTTCAGGTTCTAGCACTTGCGAACTTTCTTGACTCAACGGATTCTTACAAGTAGTTTTATGGCGGCCCAAAGTCGGCATCGCCCACATTTTTGAATGTGTCTCTTCTTAGCGGCATTGCTCTCTAGAAAATTTTTAATTATGTTCTTTTTGGGTCTATCTTTTGGCCTTGAATTGTTAGGCACTCTAACGTATGTGATATCAGTTGACACATCCCACTACTCTTTTCCTAGAAGAGTTGATATTGGAACTTCATAAGCCAATTTATACCTACAAATGAAGCAAGGAAATAAATATCACACAATTTATTTGAAAAAAAATATAAATTTCATACGAGTTAACAACCTATAAATGTAGTAACAATAATGAACATAAGTGTGTCATAAAGGGTGCTCGTTGGAACCAATGAATGTCGTTGCATGAATGTATGGCAGGCCTCTAATTTACCATACTCTACAAGTACATTTTTTGGTATTGATATCAACTACACATCTTTCATGGCTCCCTTCAGCCTCAGCCTTGTAAGGTGTTGACAGCCTCACCATTAGCCGTTCTTTTTTACTCAATATTTTTCTCAAGTATTCACCAGCATATGGAACTAACTCACCCTTCTAGTTGTTTGCCTGTAGCTTTCTCTCCGCCTTAACTTCTATAAACTTTGCACGAATCATGTCAATTCAATCAACTACTGGTTTGCTTCTAGCTTCGCCAACCCAAGGATTAAATGATTCATCAATATTATTTGTATTATAATGATCCTTGAGCTTTGTAGAGAAATCACTTCTAGCCCACTTGTAAGATACATCCTGTAAATATGCATATACTTGTGGGGACATATAGCTCAACTCCTTCATAATAACATCAAATTTCTGCTTGGTATAACAATTAGATGCAGACCACACTAAGCTTGCAACTTTATCAGTGTCCTTATAATGAATTATTTTTTTAAGCATTCCATAAATGACGCATACATACTCCGTGTTTTGCATTTAAAAATACAAGCTTAATTGCTTCTCCGAGTCCCTTCTCCATGTCATATATGAAGGCTATCTTATGCTGCTCAGACACAATCACATGAACAAATTGTTCAAAAAAACACTGACATGCCTTCTTTGACTTTGTTTCAGCAGCAACAAAGGTCACAGGAAGCAATCCATCGTTTCCATCCGATGAAGTTGCTGATAGAAGAACACCCAAGTACTTAGATTTCAAATGACAGGTATCAACACCAATCAAATGTCTACACCCTGATAGAAATCAATCAATTGAGGCTTTAAAACAAACAAAAAATCTTTTGAAAGAAAAGTTTTGCTTACTAAAAGTGTATGAAATAAGAGACCCAGGATTTCGACTCAAAAGAACTGCTTTCAATGCAGGTACCCACTTATAATTATCATCAACCTATCTAAAAAATGTTACTCCTTGCTTCTTCTCTTATTCTCCATAATCTCATATACAAAAGTGATAAGTCATATAACTTCTCCAAAGTGTTATTTATCTATTTTGGAGGGATGTCAAAATTCCTTTTCATAATCTCTTCAATCTAATGAGCTACCCAGGAGGTTGTTGCTTGTTTATTGCATGTTTTGTTCACATTTGGGCATAAATGCCTTGGCTCAAATTTTCATACCTCAAAAAATGTTTCATCTACATATGTAGCAGCTCATACTCTCTAAGAGCTTCCATAATATGCACTTAAAGCAATGATGCAGGATCTATTGTTAACTTGAAATTTCAACCCAAAGTTATTTTTAATTGCAACAGAGCGGATAAATTTTCTGAAATGGTTTGAATCACGACAATGAACACTAACATTCAAGTTATTATCAACTACTATTTCTATATTTAGACGTTCCTCGATGTAAATCCCTCTCTTAACATTCTCATTATAGTTAAAGTTGATTGCGCACACTAATTATTTTATCAGCTACTATTTCTATATTAAGATGTTCCTCGATGTAAATTCCTCTCTTAACATTCTCATTATTGTTAAAGTTGATTGCGCACACTAACTATTTGACATAGAACCACCAATTTGAAGTTGTTGGCATTCTAAACATATCTCAAGGTCTCTTTGATTTTGTGTGATAATCACTACCACCATACTACCTATCCTTTATATTGAGCAACTATTTCCTTAACTTTAATGTCATTGGTGATATGATAATATTCTTTAGACGAAGTTTACTTTTATGATATCTCAGCTCAAAATCATGTCCTTTCAGCCAAGGGCATATCACATCAATATTCTCCTTTACCGTCTGTAAATTCACCAAGTCCTTTTGAATCGTAACTATTTCTACTTCCCACCATCATATCTCAATCTTGTTTGGCTCAGAGCTTTTGTCCAATATCCACCATATTTAAATGTACTTCGTAATGATTCATCTCGATCCGTAGTTAAATCCATCTCTACAGCTGGTTCACACAAGATCATCTAAAATAAAACAAATAAAATGATTATTGGTTAAGAAATTTATAAATACATTTGCAATTTTGAATTGAACAATAAGAAGCCCAACAATATAACTCCAATAAAAAAATAACTTTGTATAAATCTCTATCACCAATATGACAAACCTTCCTTTGTCAGTATTCTTCTTTCAACCTAAATTCATTTTATATCTTTCTACATTTCTTTCTCTGAAAAGTTAATTATTTATAGAGAAGTAACAACAAAAAAAATAAAATTCATACTTGTTGTAAGTAAAACACAAGACAAACAAATTTCATATTTGAATGAGAACTCGTGCTTCTATAAAACACAACACCAATAAATTTCATATTTGTTGTAAGTAAAACACAACGCAAACAGAATTGCACTCCGAAGAAACTAAAAGAAAAAATCTGAAATAAATAATCTATCAAATAGCCCTACGGCCTAC